TAAAAGTCGATGAGTCCCTTTTGTGGTCCACTTCTAGTCATGGCTGACAGTTACCGGAAGTGTCGAGAGTATCTCTTAACGGCAGGGGAGAAGACAAGTGGCATATCCTTATAGTCTCAACAGCAACTTGTCAAACTTGATTAAGAAACGCAAAACAGTTGGATTTATATATACTTTACGAGATGTTCTACCGACCTTCTTGACTACGGTAAATGATAGGGTTGTCACAGCCACGGAAGTAAGATTCATTAACAAATCAACAAATTATATGGAAAGCTATATCAAGCCAGTCTTACACATTAAAAAATATAGAACAAAGAAATTAGATAATGACTGAGTTGTATTTACGCATGTACTTATTGTTCATATCTTTTATTGCGCAATTCGTTCATCAAAATATTACTTCATTTGTAGCTGTGTTGGGGTATAAGCCGCTTTCAACAGTACTTAAGTTGTAGCTGTGTTGGGGTATAAGCCGCATTCAACAGTATTTCATTTGTAGCTGTGTTGGGGTATAAGCCGCATTCAACAGTACTTCATTTGTAGCTGTGTTGGGGTATAAGCCGCATTCAACAGTACTTAAGTTGTAGCTGTGTTGGGGTATAAGCCGCATTCAACAGTACTTAAGTTGTAGCTGTGTTGGGGTATAAGCCGCATTCAACAGTACTTCATTTTAATTTGTAGCTGTGTTTCAACAGTACTTCATTTGGGTATAAGCCGCATTCAACAGTACTTAAGTTGTAGCATTTTGTAGCTGTGTTGGGGTATAAGCCGCATAAGCCGCATTCAACAGTACTTCATTTGTAGCTGTGTTGGGGTATAAGCCGCATTCAACAGTACTTCAAGTTGTAGCTGTGTTGGGGTATAAGCCGCATTCAACAGTACTTAAGTTGTAGCTGTGTTGGGGTATAAGCCGCATTCAACAGTACTTAAGCTGTGTTGGGGTGTTAATAAGCCGCATTCAACAGTACTTCATTTGTAGCTTTGGGGTATAAGCCGCATCCAACAGTTGTTGTAGCTGTGTTGGGGGGGTATAAGCCGCATTCAACAGTACTTAAGTTGTAGCTGTGTTGGGGTATAAGCCGCATTCAACAGTACTTCATTTGTAGCTGTGTTGGGGTATAAGCCGCATTCAACAGTACTTCATTTGTAGCTGTGTTGGGGTATAAGCCGCATTCAACAGTACTTAAGTTGTAGCTGTGTTGGGGTATAAGCCGCATTCAACAGTACTTAAGTTGTAGCTGTGTTGGGGTATAAGCCGCATTCAACAGTACTTCAGTTGTAGCTGTGTTGGGGTATAAGCCGCATTCAACAGTACTTAAGTTGTAGCTGTGTTGGGGTATAAGCCGCATTCAACAGTACTTAAGTTGTAGCTGTGTTGGGGTATAAGCCGCATTCAACAGTCCTTAAGTTGTAGCTGTGTTGGGGTATAAGCCGCATTCAACAGTACTTTTGTAGCTGTGTTGGGGTGTAGCTGCGTTGGGGTATACTTAAGTCGCAGCTGTGTTGGGGTATAAGCCGCATTCAACAGTACTGTAGTGTAGCTGTGTTGGGTATAAGCCGCATTCAACAGTCCTTAAGTTGTGTATCTGTAGGCGTATGCCGTTCAACAGTACTTCATTATAAGCCGCATTCAACATTCAACAGTACTTAAGTTGTAGCTGTGTTAGGGTATAAGCCGTGTTGTTGTATAAGCCGCCGCATTCAACAGTCCTTAAGTTGTAGCTGTGTTGGCGTATAAGCCGCATTCAACAGTCCTTAAGTTGTACCGCATTCAACAGTACTTAAGTTGTATGTAGCTGTGTTGGGGTATAAGCCGCATTCAACAGTACTTAAGTTGTAGCTGTGTTGGGGTATAAGCCGCATTCAACAGTACTTAAGTTGTAGCTGTGTTTGGGTATAAGCCGCATTCAACAGTACTTAAGTTGTAGCTGTGTTGGGGTATAAGCCGCATTCAACAGTACTTAAGTTGTAGCTGTGTTGGGGTATAAGCAGCATTCAACAATCCTTAAGTTGTAGCTGTGTTGGGGTATAAGCCGAATTCAACACGTGTTGGTGGTTAGGCACAAGAAATTGCAGGATATAGTTTTCACAAAAGAGCGTGTTGTATGCACCCCGTGTGGTTCACCACAGTTGAGATAGGCGGATGCGTCAGGTTAGACCATGCCATTATGGTATTCTGACACAGTCACTGTTGCATGAAGTGAAAAATGTGAAAAGTGCATCAACCTGCTTCAATGGCGGAAACAACAGTTATTGTTGCATTTGATCGTGACGTCATGGTGACTGGTAACGTCACAATTGTCTACATAATCTTGTGCTGTGATTCGATTGTAGTGATATCTCTGAGGAGTCGTTGCTAACTCCTTTGTTTCGTTTGGTGAATACAATCGGTCAGACCTAGCTCTATAGAGTACACACACTACGAGGGGCGTCCCAAAAGTAGTCAGCCTCGCCTAGAAAATTATACAAATGCAGATGTTTTTAAATTTTATTTTTCTACATATTATCTGTCAACCTCAAGCAAATTGCTTTTGCCATGTTCCAGCCTCACGATCCCCGTTTTGTTTGACTCTTTATCTTGCTACCCCCCAAAACGCAAAATCTCCAATAAATGCATCACAAACTTCAGGAAACAGAATATGCAAGAAACATTGTGTGTTTGAGATAGTCCTCTAGAATCAAATGTAGATATTACTACAATGCCTGTTAAAGTGACTCCCCTCATGATGTTTACTGGAAGAGCTTGTTTTGGAGACACTACCAAAACCCTTCAGATGACGTTATCATAAGGACATAATTAATTCTAATGTATTCACTTATTCATAAATGATACCAAGGGTTCAAAATAAATACTGAATGGTCACAAAAGTGTCAGCACTCAATATATTGTAAACAGTGCCAGCTTGAATATCTGAACACAATGTTTTTGAAAGATAAAAATGGGGGTGTCCTTTAAAAACAGCCCCGTCTAAATATACACTAAACGCCAAAAGAAACGTTACCCTCCTTCCTTATTGACGGAGGTACCTATCTTCAACTGGCATTGTGATGCGTGGACGTCCACTTTTTGGTCTGTCTACGGTGACCCCAGTCTGTCTGAAGCCCTGAATAAGTCTTATAACCGTGATCCGGTGGCATCCGGGGGCGTTGGCAACATCATTGTATGTCGACCCCATCTGCACCATCCCAGTGGCTCTTTCTCTCTCTTCAGATGCTAATCGTGGCATATTTCTCGCACTTGTGTATCATATCATCTTTTCTAGGCTCTCTTCATACTCTATAAAATCATTCTACATGTGAAATGGATGCAAATACTGCTTGAATATTGCTGCGTTTTGGCGATTGATATTGCTATGTGTAAACAGAAAAAGGTAATATGTTACTTTGCAAGCAAAAAAGTGAACAAAGATAATTGTAGATGTTCCTACACATTTTTTCGCAATATCAAAGACAAGTTTCACTTGATTTTACTAATGCAAATCAGCAGAAAATGTTTTAAAAGACTGAAATCATATGAACGATTATTTTACAACTTTACCCACTCTACAACAGTTTCTTCTTGTGTTAATAGTTGAAAAATGGTGACTTTAAATGGTTTACCTTTGTCCCAAAGCAGAATGTTATTTCAACCTTTCTTTTGGACATCTAAATCACAGTTGTTGGTTATTTCGGCATGGACGAAAATAGGACGATTTAACTCTTCTGAAAAAAGATGCATTTCACCTAAATATGAATGCATTTGAGAATTGTTTTTCGTGATTTGCATAAATCTTTGTTGTTAAGCTTTCTTCTAAACTAATACCTCTAACATATCTTTGATAGTTTCTAAGTAATTTATAAAGTTAAGAGGGTAACGTTGTTTTGGGCGTTTAGTGTATATCACGCAATATTGTTGATTATGACGGGAAGTCACCCAAGACTATACTGAACATATTTTGTATGATATTATCTGAGGGCATACCATTATCCAAGAGGTACAAAATGACAGATCGTTTTTCACTTTCTGCAATTTTTAAAGAAATATCATACCCCAGTGTGATGAGTAATATCTCGTTAACCACAATACCCACATATGTGAAATTTTGGATATGGCTTTGCTAATGATTCCTTCAAAATACAATGGAAGCTTTTCTAACATTGGACATAGAGAATATAGTTAGGCCGACTACTTTTGGGATGCCCCTTGTATTAATTTTGATTTGTAAATGTTGGCATGTTTTGATTGTTTGACATGCGTTAGACTTTCGATAGATTTCATGTGATCCAAGGACCCTAGTGCCGATGTTTATGGGAATTTCGGAGTGGACCTATGGTAAAGCCAAGGACTCCTGTGTACAATACAGTAAATATTTGACGTCGACGCCCGAGAATAACCAGTTTGGATTATCTCTGGCGCTAAAGGCAAAATATGGGTGGAAGGATGGCTAAATTTAACTGATGACACCATGTGTTAGGGAACAGAATACGCATATCCTGGCCTACTGTAGCACCATCACACACACGCACCATTTGAACAGAATATGTTTGTGGTTGACTGATTTTGTTGAAACTAAAAATGCCATGTTCGTATTTAATTACGTCTAAAGTGTACAAAAGCAGACGAGATGTTGCTGCTAAAATGTTAAGTCAGACAGTTTAGACATGTGTTCATATTTGCAACACAATGGGGAGTCTCTATTTAAATATTTCTTTAAAGGTTGTTCTTATGAAAGAATGAATATTTGTAGCTGTGTTGATAAATGCTAGGGAACGTACGATGAAACTCAGAAATGTCTTTCCACCAGCAGAAACGTAGGCTCACTTGACGTAAATAAGTAACATCAGAGAGGAGATGTAAAGGGTCCAGATTCTGAAGAATATTCATTAAACATCTCACCCGTGACATGTCCTATGGATTATTTCGTTCATGTGAACCTTTCAAAATGGATTATTGAGGTTCCACATCAGTGTATTTGCTGCGTTGTTCTTAGTTTCTAACGTTCTCCTTTCCTTGCCAGGATGCATCCCCAACAGAAGAGGTCGTCCTTCCTGAACCTAGCGTTCTATCAGATATATGACCTTTGTGATTCCGACCGAAATGGCCACTTCACGGCGAATGAATTCAAGTGTGTCGATGACCTTGTTCACATCTACTTCGGCAGAAGGTGATGCGACTCCCCAGCAACGTCCACACACCATATGGATCTGGACCAGGTGAGCTATAGAGTTTACTCTCCTGAGGTGTAGTTGAATAGTCTAGTAGGTATTAACGGTGAATATCGGTGTTTGAATCCACAAATGGCTACGATGCACCAGTACTCGAATCCCACGTCACAATGGTGATGAAAGTATTGCTGCCGAAAAGGCTGACAGTGTACAGATATGACATCACATTACGGTCTTTGGTAAACTTACATATGTCTCTATGCATAAATAGATCAGTACGTCACGTGTGACGTCTTGTATTGAGGGGGCGGTGGGGTAGCCAAGTGGTTAAAGCGTTCGCTCGTCACGCCAGACACTCGGGTTCTATTTTTCACTTGGGCACAATGTGTGAAGCCCATTTCTGGTGTCCCCCTTCGTTATATTGCTGGAATATTGCTAAAAGCGGCGTAAAATTAAACTACTTGTGCTGAATGTTGGGTATTGTATAAATGTCCAGTATCACAGTGGTCAGTGTACATACACGTGTGTCTTGTGTTGCAGACTGGTCCACGGGGTGCGTCGAGGGATGACACGATGTTAACGTTATTCTAACTATGGTTCTACATCATTTTCTGTACTTCCGTCATGAATAAAACGTCCCAATACAGCATTCGTCAAATGTTCTCTATTTACATCGTCTTCTGCTCTTCTCATTCGGATCATCATGTAATGTCTGTCGTCCACCCGCTTGTGGTGCATTGGTCCACCATTAATGTTAGCTGCTGGTGATCGTGTTTTCTGAAGTCATCATTAACATGGCCATAGCTACACACTCCACGCCTGCTGCAGGTACAGCGGGACATTCTCTCTGTTTCAGACTGGCGTGTTCTTTCGGAAATTTAGATTAGTGAGTTCCTCGCTTCTGTGCCTTTGGATTCTGTTTTATATCTTGGATTACAAATGCGAATGACCCATTTGCGGATTAGTTGACCTCATTTATTGAATGATGTCTTTTTGTCACAGATTCTACAGCATTCTTTTGGGAAGGACATGACTTATTTAAGGAAGTAAAACAGGAAGTAAACCGTCAACACTATGAACACTGTAGTGAAACGGGAGTCTTGCATTTGGATATCTTTCGGACATCATACATTTTCGTACAGCCATATTTTATGGCTTTACTGGAATTCTCACAGATCTGTGGCGTCACAAACAAATTTTATATATTTGGATGATGATCTGTTTTTAAGATAAATTAACCTTTTATAACTTGGTGAGATAATTTACAGTTGTAAATGTGATTAATGAGAAAATGCCAGAAAACTCCTAACACGAGGATAATAGTAGTGCGATGTCATGAACAGCGGGTGGTGTCATATCTTATTGCTGCAAACAATGAAAATACCTGACAGAATCACCACAAACTGTGCGAATAACCCCCACAACAATAAATACAAACAAATTCCATCTTACTTCCCTGTGGTATAATGAGTAATGTATTTTGTAAAGGTCACAGAAAGGACAGACTGTTGTGATATAACATGTGGGTATACGGACTCTCTTTGATATATACTACCGCTACACATGATTCTCTCCCATCTTTACCAGTTTGTATTGGCAGAGCAAGGTTTCGGATGCAATGACGGTTGAGCTTCTGGCTAAGCCTCCAACTCCCACGCAGCCAGTGCCTCCGACCCATGTTTTACATGCTTTACCAAGTACATGTATAAACCTTCAGTCAATACTTGTCTAGATAATCTTCTTTTGACGAGGTATATCGCAACATACCTGACAGGAAAACGATTTTCAGCAGCGTTTCAAATGGCGCACATTAAGTAAGAGGTCGTGCCTTTCGCGAGTCTGCGGAATTCAGAACACACAGATTACGTTATAAGACGACATGGTTTTAATTGCTCACGACTAAACTCAGGTGATGAGGTCATGGCTAGGTCACATAACAACAAATATCTGTGGAAATGCGACAATGTTTCTTTCAAGATTTATGTGTTCTGTTTCATACAATAAATAATTGTTCCGCCACTTTCTTGGAAAATAGCGTTCATGGTTTAGAGTAAAGCGGCGCTTGTCACAGTCAGGATAATGATAAAATACTTACTTGTGCTCATTACAGCCTTCATTTTCAACAGGGGCGGCGGGGTAGCCTAGTGGTTAAAGCGCTCGCTCGTCACGCCGAAGACCCGTGTTCGATTCCCAACATGGGTACAATGTGTGAAGCCCATTTCTGGTGTCCCCCGCCGTGATGTTGCTGGAATATTGCTAAAGCGGCGTAAAACTAAACTCACTGCAATCATTTTCAACTAATTGTGTTTTAGAACAAATATTTCTAAAATTTAAATGGTTCATATGCTGCTGTAAGTGAGTTAGTGAGTTAATGAATGGATGTTGTGTAACATTACAGCTTAGTTTTCGAGTCTGGATCAGACAAACCTCTGAAGGAACGAGCCACGCCAAGGTACGGTAAGACACAGAGTCTGATCATATCGTTGTATCAGCAGCTACCGCCTGTATTGGGTCTTGCGACCTGTGTGTGGCAAAGTGAGCAAGTATTGCATTATGCCGCATAAGCCATATTGTAGCTATCTATGTTAAGATGTACGATTTCAAGCTGGATATTGCATCTGAATAACTAATGTAATATTTTCGATTAAAAATAAAACACAAACAAAATAATCAACTGCTTTATTATTTACAACCAAGCTGAGTGATATTATACAGAAAAGGTTCCTCTATCACTTAGAGCTATATAGTTATCAACGACTGGTGCCCTTATAAGATGCGAATCATCACAGAGCCAAGACTTGTATACACAATATATGATATACTGTATGTCACCCTGTGCATGCATGAGATCAATATTGTGAACACCCAACAACTATATATGCACATTGTGCTTGACGTCAAACATCATAACCAGATCGAACATAATCATCTCACTGTTGGAATGGAACAAGGGTAATTTACTGGATCCGCCCACACTCCACTCACCGGGTACTGGTCAGTCTTACCTATACTTTACATACAGCGCATACATACTGCTATATGTATGGGCCAAATGCTAAACATAAGAAAATGTGACATTCCTTATTTTCTGCAATTTCTTTCATTTTATTATTACAAAAGATCTAGCGATAGATAGACAGACCCAGTTCGGAACCCATCTGAAGATTCACCGTCCTCAGTCATGGTGTCGTACTCTATATACAAAAGTCGTTGACATCTTGGAGATGTGAAACACCATTAGGAATAGAAGCATGGCACAGTATGGCGGCTGTATGTGTTGCATCTCCATGATCGCTTCATGCCCCGGATGCAACAAGTGGATAAGACTACGTCCCTAACAACTACCGCTGATTGCAGGATCGTAATTAGGGTTGTCACAAGAGGTAAAAATATAGTTTTCATGCACAAAGTATGATGTTTCAGACATGTCAGCTAATAAATGTCATGCAAAGACAGCTCGAGAAAGCGTGACGTGACAGGACACATGCAACCGGTAACATATTATCACTGACTGAAGTAAATGTCTTATTATATATTATACCAATATGGTGTAGTTTTTACGATTATACACAATAATCGTGTTTAGATGGTGCACATTTCTCTTGACATTATGTGTAAATGACTGTTGTCAAAAACGAAATTGAATAGTAATGTTTCCAAGAATGATTGAGATAGAAAATGTGATAGATGTAGCAAAACATTACATCGTTCTTTTAAGTTTAGTCAGAACACACGCACGTAACGTTTAACCAAATGCTGAAATATACAGATGTTAATCATTTCAGCACAACGCGATAGGAGGTCAGTACCTGGTGCCAGCGCATCTAGATATAATCACGTAATTGTGTACAGGTCCTGATACACCAATCATGGGCTTAACATAGTTCGGTGACTGTTCTGCACTCTTATTTAGGTAGGCTAGTTGCTGCAGTACACAACTTTGGAATAACACTTGGGATTGAACTTTATACGCAACATCGGGAATCAGGCCGCATCAGTCTGATGGGTTTGTTTGTCCCACTAGTGTGTAATTCCATCATCATCATCATCATCATCGTCACTGCAGTGTTGTGGACACTAGGTGTTTGGGATATACACAGTTCAGAGAAAATATCTCATGGGTACACGTAGCGAGCTATCCAAAATACAGACGCTATATTTTGTGTGAGAGTTTTACGACACGCATGATATGCTTTCTGAAACATAGTATTGATGACATGTGGGCAGGCTAGTACTTTAAGAGCTCTCGATTGATAAAGTCAAAAGACATACTTTGAAAACCGCGTGAACTTTATAAACGTTGGTACTCGAAACACAAGTCTCTGCAAACTCCGTACTAATAGCAGTAACACATAATATAATATTTCTTTTGTAAACAGGACCAAAAGCAGGAATAATACTATCAGCATTCTAACTTTCACAAGTGTCCTTGGCAAAAATGAACAGGTCAAATCTGATGTTGATTTTCAGAGAAAAAACTCAAAGGGAAATTGCATATGTGTAACACACTAGGCTTCATATTTAAATATATTTCCCACCCGGTGGTTTAACATTGGACACTGGAGCATTTGTAATGCCACGACCATGTTTACTCCGACGTTTCGTCCACGTCCAAGATGGTATACGTCGTTTCCATGCCGGCGTGTATGTGGTCGTTGACGTGGCAATGCAATGCCCACGTTCCGGGGTTAGTGGCCTTCATTATCGCTGATACCCCCGTCTCGGGGAACACAGTGATGACGTCAGTACGCTGGTCACCCCCTGAACGCTGGAGTAGGGTCTGACCGTGGAAGTGCACGGTGTGGATGTCTTGTGTGCCGCCGAAGCCCAGGATGTGCCACGCCACCGTGTCTCCTTTCTTCATGGTCAAACCCCGAAGTGACTGATACACAAACCCGTTGATCATATGCATCTTATTGCTTTCTATAAATTCTTCATCTCTGTAGTTCCTCTGATTGCTTGCAAACTTCTTCTGATTCCATATGATATACCAGCTTTGATTTTCGTCCATGATTGAGAAGAGTAAAATAAATTCCTTATCAACATCTTTCCGGACTCTTCCTTTACCAAGAACTCCTTTTCTACAGATGACCAGCGGACCGATCAGCCCAGAGTAAGCGTCTCTCACCTGGTTGTGCGCGGAGTAATACATCGATGATATACAACCCGGGTCTTTCGAACCAGGGCCCTTGGTTATCTCCCATCGATACACCTGAAATCCGCCAGGGGGCACCCCATCGTCAGTTTTCGTGTCCGTCCGGTCTGAGTACAGGCTTCCTTCGTTTGCCTTGTTTGTGTTGACCAGATGAGCATGTAACGAATATGTTCGTGACGCCATGTTTTTAAACACAATTTCCACGACATCGCCCACCTCTGCCCTGACGACGGGGCCAAGGAATCCGAGGTAGTCGTCTCCTTCATTTTTGTGTACGGGCTCGCTGAAAGCAGAGTCTCGGAACTCCTTATATACAGCTTTACGGTACTTGGTGCCCACGTGTTTGTTGTCGTCAAGTGTGAATGCAAAGGACTTGCTGGAAAACAAACACAACAGTCGATAAATGTTGAGTGACACTTTAAGCACATTTCCAGCAATTTATCGAACCTACGCGGGGATTCAACCCTGGACCTTTGCGGGAGCAACCATAGCCTTCACCAGTAGGCTACCAAATAGTACCCAATGGTAGACTACAGGAAATGGATTTACATATTATCCTTGAACAACAGGAAACCGGTACAAGAGAGAACATCGTTGAGTAAGCCTAAGTGGGTATTTGGTACGTGGATCAGTGTGTGGTCAGCAGGTGACTGTGTGGGTGGATGTATTGAAGCGTAAGTAAGTGAAGGCATACATGTACTTTAAACAGTGTTTGCAGTATTGCAGTGAAAAAGCCTTAGAAGAGTTTCACACACGGCATTCATGCTGAGTCAGCCATTAAGCCTGCGTAGTCACTATAAAAAAAGAGAACGAAATTCTAAAACCGATAATATCTTACGTCTACCATTTCATCCATGGTTTAAATTTACTTGCATTTCGTTTCGTCTGCGTTAGTTGCTCATTAGTAAATTACACAAATACTCACCTTTTCGGATCCGTCAGCTCACTGTCATCGAAGACTGATTTCTTTGAAGGAGCATACTCCCACTCTGTTTCCATGGCAGCGATGTAGTACTGTCGTTTCGGGGGGTTGGGAAGGTGGGAGTAAGAGAGGAGGGCTGGGTGGAGGTAGTTGCAGTCCTTCACCTCGTACAGCATGCTGAGCCCTGCCTGGAAGTGGTCGGTGTTCCGGTCGAAGACACCCCAGTTACCTGGGGAGAATCACGTCCACTGGCATTGCACTGTTTGCTTAATCAGTGAGTGAATAGTGAGTGAGTGAGTGAGTGGGTGGGTGGGTTTAGTTGTTTGCTGTTTTTAGTAATATCTCGGCAATATCATGGCGGGGGACACCAGAAATTGGCTTCCTCATATATTACCCATGTGGGGAATCGAACCCGGGTCTTCGCCGTGACGAACCAACGTTTCACTCACCCCACCGTCTGTTTGCTTAATGAAGAGAGAAGTGCATTGACTGTTTTTCAAGTGACGGTATTAAAGATTCCATGCATCCAACCCACCCCCACCCACCCACCCACCCACACACCGCCAGTATGAGTATGAAGTTTATTTGTTGCCATAAGTGGCATCATCGTTTATTGATAGTCCGTCGTCGTGGACGGTTTACAACATTATCAAGCACTGATTATCCTGTCTTTGAACTAACTTAGGTTTCATGTTTATTGTTGTTCAACATAACACTAAACCAGCTATATGGAGGGGATCTGTGTCGCGACCAAACAATCACGTGACTGACACCATGAGCCACTGACTTGAATCCACCATGGCACGAAAACTGACCAGCCGATCCCGCTAGTTACGAGTCACGACAGACAAAGGTGTGTGACGCCTGACTGTGGTGTGTGACTCACCTATGTGTGTCATGACGTCTGACTGCGATGTGTGACTCACCTATGTGTGACGTCTGACTGTGGTGTGTGACTCACCTATGTGTGTCATGACGTCTGACTGCGGTGGGTGACTCACCTTTGTGTGACATGACGCCTGACTGTGGTGTGTGACTGACCTATGTGTGACGCCTGACTGGTGTGAGACTCACCTATGTGTGTCATGACGTCTGACTGCCGTGTGTGACTAACCTATGTGTGACGTCTGACTGTGGTGTGTGATTCACCTATGTGTGTCATGACGTCTGACTGTGGTGTGTGACACCTATGTGTGACGTCTGACTGTGGTGTGTGACTCACCTATGTGTGTCATGACGTCTGACTGCCGTGTGTGACTAACCTATGTGTGTCAAGACGTCTGACTGTGGTGTGTGACTCACCTATGTGTGACGTCTGACTGCGGTGTGTGACTCACCTATGTGTGTCATGACGTCTGACTGTGGTGTGTGACTTACCTATGTGTGACGTCTGACTGCCGTCTGACTCACCTATGTGTGACGTCTGACTGCGGTGTGTGACTCACCTATGGACCTATGTGTGACGCCTGACTGGTGTGAGACTCACCTATGTGTGTCATGACGTCTGACTGCCGTGTGTGACTAACCTATGTGTGACGTCTGACTGTGGTGTGTGATTCACCTATGTGTGTCATGACGTCTGACTGTGGTGTGTGACACCTATGTGTGACGTCTGACTGTGGTGTGTGACTCACCTATGTGTGTCATGACGTCTGACTGCCGTGTGTGACTAACCTATGTGTGTCAAGACGTCTGACTGTGGTGTGTGACTCACCTATGTGTGACGTCTGACTGCGGTGTGTGACTCACCTATGTGTGTCATGACGTCTGACTGTGGTGTGTGACTTACCTATGTGTGACGTCTGACTGTGGTGTGTGACTCACCTATGTGTGACGTCTGACTGCCGTCTGACTCACCTATGTGTGACGTCTAACTGTGGTGTGTGACTCACCTATGTGTGACGTCTGACTGCAGTGTGTGTCTCACCTATGTGTGACGTCTGACTGTGGTGTGTGACTCACCTATGGATGTCATGACGTCTGACTGTGGTGTGTGACTCACCTATGTGTGTCATGACGTCTGACTGCCGTGTGTGACTAACCTATGTGTGTCAAGACGTCTGACTGTGGTGTGTGACTCACCTATGTGTGACGTCTGACTGCGGTGTGTGACTCACCTATGTGTGTCATGACGTCTGACTGCCGTGTGACTCACCTATGTGTGACGTCTAACTGTGGTGTGTGACTCACCTATGTGTGACGTCTGACTGTGGTGTGTGACTCACCTATGGATGTCATGACGTCTGACTGTGGTGTGTGATTCACCTATGTGTGACATGACGTCTGACTGCGGTGTGTGACTCACCTATGTGTGTCATGACGTCTGACTGTGGTGTGACTCACCTATGCGTGACGTCTGACTGCGATGTGTGACTCACCTATGTGCGACATGAGCGTGACGAACGACAGCGACTTGCCCGGCACCAACTCTACTGTGTCCTTCATATTGCCGTCCACGTCGAAGTCCATGCCGTGAAAGTAGATGGAGTGGACGTCGGTCTGGTCCCCTACACAGAACAGATGCCAAGACACCTGCTCCGCCCGACACAACTCCATACCGCCCAGGTTGCCGAACGCCCGGCCGTTCACGCCTGGAGATACAAGGGACGAGTATACACAAACGTGTAATTGCATACAGGATGGTACAGTGCATGGATACAATGATGGTTAAAGCGTCCGCTCGTCACGCTAAAGACCCGCATGTAAAATGAGTGACCACCGCCGCGATATAGCTGGAATATTGCTAAAAGCGGCGTAAAACCACACTCACTCACTAGGATTAAAGACTGAATGTGGCGTGGGGTGAGGTCTGGTGAGGTGGGACGAGTTGACCATATATTTGCTGATAGTTGCTTGCCTCTCATTTTGTTGGATTCAATAAACTTTGGATCTTCCTTGTCTATCATGGAGGCTATGGTGAACTTCTCCATGTTCTTGTCCAGGTACCAGGATTTGTTCTCGTCAATCACGCCAAAGAACAAGACCCGATCCTTGTCCACTCCTTTCTGAAGTGAAATCGTCGACGTTAGTTTCACACGTGATAAATCAGCAATATATGGTTCGAGATTCGGGAAACACAATTCACCGTAACATATCTAGAAACCAACCTGCTTGCCTTCCTCGTCGAGGGATCCCTGCTTACAGACCAGGAGCGGCCCGAGAAGGCCCGAGTTGATGTCCTTGACCGGGTCCACGGCGGACTGGTACATGAAGGTCACACATGCAGTGTCCTTGTCGGTTGGTGCAGCCGTCTCCGGTACGTAGAACCGGTACATACGGAAGTCCTGTCCCCCAGTCGTGATGGACTGCACAGAATCTAGACAGAAGATATAGGCAGTTAAAGAGTAGACAATAATATAAATGAGAGACTCTTTCCACATCCATCAGCTTAATAATAATGAAAATATTTCCGTCTATGTCGTAATCATTTGTTTATGAATCACTATCAAAATGGTGATAGTACAAGGTGTTCCTGAAGAGGTGAACGGATCCTGCCTCACCGATGGCTCCTATCATAAAATATGCAAAAACTAGTCAGTCATTCGTCTGAAAAAAATGGGAACCTCTGGAGTGAGTGAGTTTAGTTGTACGCCGCTTCAGCAAATATTCCAGCAATATCACGGCGGCGGACACCAAAATGGGCTTCATGTATTGTATCCATGTAGGGAATCGAACCCGTGTCCCCCTGAACGCTTTAACCACTAGGCTACCCCACCGCCCCTGGGAACCCCTGGAACAAAATAGGGAATTACATAGGGCTTTAGTTTTGTCACTGATACGTCAACTTCAATGAACATATGAACAAATGTCTTGAATGTCTGGCCATTTCTTCCTGAACTGACAGTCATGGAACTGACTGTGAAGTTGATGTAACCTATGTCAATACACACCATCTTTCTCTGCTTGTCCATACTGTATGAGGCCCTGAGCGTAGAATGAGAAAGGCCGTGATGCGTTGTTCCACAGTGTGACCTCTAGAGTCTCCCCAGCCTCTATCCTGATAATGGGGCCCAGGAGCCCCAGATGGAAGTCGTCCGGGCCTCGAGGTTTCACCTTCTCAAACTCCTTGTCCTCGTACTCCACAAACCGTGCCTTGAGGTACTGGCTGCCGATGGCGTTGGACTTGCCGATGAAGTATTGAGATTCTGGGCTGCCAGTAAGAAGGGCAATAAACAACCTCGGTGTAATTTGATTACCGAAACATGCATTATAATATATTTAAATCAGCCCAATCTATGATCTAAAACGTACAAATATATATTGACAGAACATAGTCTTGGAATACGAGGAACCTATAATACAATAGTTGCAATACGAGTCTGCCAAATTGAAAGTTTTACGAATTTGTCGAATAATGGTACGGTGATATGCCAGAATCTCTAAATCACATGTGGCTAATAAAGCCCAACATGAACTTTTCAGAACTCTTTCTCTTCCCTTGCGAACAATACCTACGTACCTGTCATCTAAGAGGGCTTTCTCTGTGAGCTTGTCCACCCCCGACGGCAGGTAGTCCCACACATCTTCATGGATCATCATAAACACCCTGCGGACACTGCCTTCCTTCAGCAGAGGCTCCGGCTTATCTGCACACTTTTTCACACTGAAGAACGCTTGCATTCCCTCTGTACAGTGAACATATGTTTAGTTCGTCAACAGTTTGTAACAAATCTTTCTGGGTTATTGAATGAATCAATTGTTCACGTTTTAATGCATTTGAAAAATATTCAGAATTGTAGCAATCATTCTTCTGTTCCTTCAATTCCCGATTAAAAATAAACAAAATAAAGACAAAAGACAACAAAAAGAAGACCAAACAACCTAGAACTACAACCACCAAAGTATATCGGTCCACTGAGTCCGGATGGAATGAAATTGATATGTGTTACTATGATTTGAAACTGGCAGTGAAGTACTGTTGTAACACGCTCGACAATGGCATTTTACTCCGTGAAAAGGTTAATTCACCTGCTCTCTCAGTAAGTACTTAGTCTCCATTGAGAGCTTTTCATCTGACTGTCTGTCTTACCGTCAAAGTGGTCATTCGCCTTGCAGTACACAAGCTTCCAGCCTTGACGACTGGCCACCATTTCTGCTGAAACAAATTTGGACGGGAACACATCCACTGACAGAACTCTGAAAGTACAAAATCATTTCCACGTTCATAGGTATGTTGCCGTGCAAATACATTCTTAAAACAGAAACTCACAGGCTAACTTTGAAGACATATCTTGTGTTGTTTCATTTAATGTAATTGGTACAATAATGAAACTTAGCAGTGCTCATAGTCACATGATCTGTGGGCATAACAGCAATACTGATTGTCCTGTAATGCTGTATAAAGCTACACAAGCTTAAACTCTTTGCGTTTGTGCACTACATCATTTAACAAACATGTGACTAACATCGCTCAATACATAATATTGCATCGGAATTGAATGTTTCAAGAATATAAAAAGTCAGCTCATCATCTTTCATGCTTGGTAAAAGTGTGTATTCATATATTACGCTGAGATATCTGAGACATTCTCTTACCTGTGGTCCCCGTACGTCATACTTTCCCCGTCCACCATGAAGCTGTGTACGTCATCCTCATTGCCCATGCCGATGATGTACCATGCTACCTTGTCGCCGGAACAAGCTTCGAACTTGGGACCGTTGCCATACACGTAGCCGTTCAGTGCATGCATGAGGTTCGTCTCTGCAAAGTCGTCGTCCTTGACCTTCGCAAGATCCACACAACATGTGGGGTCCACACAGGAGTTCATGTTATGGTCCAGGTACCAACTCTCATTCTCATCAAAGATCTTCAGAACAGCTACAAATTCCTTGTCCACATCTTTCCGATTACCTTCCTCGTCCAGGGCACCTGTCGATAAACACATGATGAGTGAACGGTTTAATCATTATCCCTTCGCCCTATCCACACTTATCCATGGTTCATTGTGTTGCAGGGAGCTGTACACATTCATTTAACAATTGGATCAAGGCCCATCTTTAAAACTCTCTAACAAGAAAACCAATGCCGCAAGAATTGAAGTTTAGGAAATTTAAGTAACGATCGACACTATCCACTGATATACCGCGCACAATAAAACACAACACACACGTTAGTAACACATGATATTAAACATTCCAAGGATGTTTATAGTGATAAGTCAGGAACCGTTACTCACGTGACATGACCAAATAAATAGAAAGTTCGAATTATATCAACTGAATACAAGTTACCGTTAAAACCTCCCTTTACAATCATTGCTAGTAATAAAAACAAGCATAACCAATATGTTGAGAGAGGTAAAATTCTATCGACATTATTAAAATCGAGCAACATACTGAAAGGCAGTTTTGTTATGTGGTTCTTGTAAAAAGCTGGCAGATTCGTCCGAGATGAAACACAAATATTTTCATATTTTCTTGAAGGGACAGAAAGTGTGACTGTTAAATTTGAAATATGGAAAGAGGTTTCAAAAATCTTTTTTCGTCTTGAAAAGTTATGAAACGTTGGCCACAAAACTGCTTGGGGAATATAGAGAATACCAAAATGACTTATGCATGAAAAGATATTTACTGATATGTTCGGGAGCTTGTTTGACGTCAGGTACCCTTGTATATGCAATATGAGACATTTCAGCTGCTGTATATATAACTTGGTCACACCTCACCTGATACACTTACCCTTTTTGCAGGTGAGCAGCGTTCCTAAAAGTCCGCTGTTGGTGTCTTTCGACGCGTCCTTACTGTGTGAATGATAGGCCCAGGGTATACACGCCTTGTCGTCAGATGTGGGTCCAAACTCCTCGGTTATCTCCCATGTGTACGTATGTTCGCCACCAGGGGCCACTGTGTCATCCATCTTGTCGCCATCCTTAGTTCCGTCACTATACAGAGCTCCTAGAATACACAAGTGTGTTATTAAACATAGTCTCAAAGGTTGTTTTGTATGACATGCGGACAGTCAATGGTTCTGTGTGAATATGTTAAAGCTTAATGTAAATCTTCAATTGGTTCATCTCTTTTAGGCTAACCAAAGCAGTTTAATGCTAAGCGAATGTTGTTTTGCGCACTGTTGACGAAGAACGCCGGGAATGGCCCTTAGATATTGCACCCATGTTGAAACCTCTGAGCCAGGAAACGAGCGAATGGTTTACAGGTAGACCACACACAATTCCTAAATCGTTTAGAGATTCTTATTTCAATGTTACACTTTAGCAATTGGTCTGAATAGCATATTGTGGACACTGTCTGACACCAGAGGGGGAAACTGAGGCACCTGTTTCAGCGATACATCTTACTAGCTATAGTGACATGTAGCAGGGTCTGATGATCTACTTTCATGATTCAGAGAGTCTTGGTCATAAACAAAGATCAATAACAATTAAAAGCCAAGAACGCCCAGAACGTGCCAGCCCTTTATATTGGCATCATGAAACAGTTCTAGTGCAAGATGCTTAATAACATGAAGCGCTCGTAAAACCTTTAACATGCAAACCGGATAGATTTCTTTAAAACATGTTTTTTTCAAACTTTACCTTCATTTGACTTGGAATATTTGACGCCATGGGGATGAACCGAGTACGGCTTAGTCGCTAGGTTTTTGAAATGTACGATCAACTTGTCCCCGACTTCTCCCTTCAAAGTCGGCCCAATGAAACCCAGCCAGAGTGGTTTGGTCACCTCCTTGGTGAACGTCTTGTCCGTGTACAGACTGAATACTGCCTTGCGGTACTTGCTTCCGATCCGGTCAGGACCCTTCTCAATGAATGCTTTGGCAGATCTAGAATACAACTGCTAGTTTACCACTGGTATCGGTATAATTTCATATGCCTGGAAATGAGTGTTCTTTCGTTAAACTGTTAAGTGTTCTTTCTTTTAACTGTGCTTATTTCTCAATATTACGTTTGGCCATGTCTAGAGCACCTTTGTTTTGAGAATGACATTGTCACATATTTAGGTCATATGTCTTCCAAACTATGCGCACCGTTCTATGACTTCCTTTACGTGACGTCATATGACTTAGAAACATCAATAGCCATGCTCAATACAGTTACATGTATATATATATTGTAGTTTGGACATCTTACTTGTCGTTCTTAAACCATTTAATAAAAAACGTTTAATATTTAACGTATTCGAACTAATTATAAGGAAAGAATGGCCCACCTTCTAAATAATTTTTGAACACAATTTAAAGAAAAATAATATACAATAGTTGTGTGGTATCTTGGACTGAAACTTGATCTCCCATGCATTTGAACTGATATTGAGCAAACAGATTCTAAAATGTCGCCTCTGTGCATCGGGGTGGTAATGACATGACATCACGTATCTCCCCTCAGATTGCGATACATTATGGCTATCAGTAGGAGTGATAAATTCCTCATTACATCTTGGAAACATACGGGTCCTGAATGTTCAGTTTCACCGCCACAAAACTTCATCTCTAATGCACTCCTGGATGTGACGCTTTGATTTTGAAGCGGAAAATATTTGTTCCAATGTTATTCAAAGTGACAACATAATACTGTCATGTTCCTGTGTTTGAGAATGCCCTTGAGAGAAATGCTTCAGAGTGGCCTCAAGTATGAATGACCGTATCATTGTTTGTAGATTAACATGTTCAAGTTACACATGACGATACATCATTATTGTTAGCTCTCCTAGGTAATATCAAGTTTAAGTGAGACCATTTCCATTACTCGATTTACGGTTATTGTTGGAAAATGACCCCCAGAGACAGGATAGGAAGAAAACATTCAAAATGCATATTGAAACGTGTGGCTTCCATACATAACCATTTCAAATCATATCTGGTCAGACGAGATTGAAAGACTTTATCTTCTTTTTCTGTAGTTACTGGGCAAGACACAAAAATGTATTTCAGGTAAATTATCTATCTTAAACTAAGTACAAAGAGACGGAAAAAGATAACATACTTTTAAATCAAACACATCTATAACTTTATCAAAAGAATGATTTGTTACCAACAATACAAACGACAAATTGGAGAATTTCATCTTGCTGATTGGGAATAATACAAAGGAATATAAAATGTCAACTCCACAGAATATTCTCGAAACAGATTCCTGAGTGCATTAAATCCAACATAGCTGTGTAAATGATATAACTTGATCAACGATGACACAGGGTTATCACCAATATGACGTCTTTTTGATCGATGTAAAGCATATATAGATGCATTAAGATGCAATAGTATTAGGAAGAAGAAATCATTGTATTATGTACTGGGTTAAGGTTAAATATCCATTCTCGGTATTAACCTATATGCTTGAAAACCAACAACAATGTTTGAAGCTGACAGAACACAGGTCCCACGTATTGTCGACGACAGGAACAGTCGTGTGCGACATTTTACACGAAAATGAACCAGTGAAGTAACTCTTGGTACAGCCTTTACTATTTTCTCTGCGGACTCCCGCGGTTGACTTGATTCAATTCTTATTCAGTTATAACAAGTGATATATAATCCTGATATTAGGAGGATTTTAGTTTTGTTTATACGATGAATGTTTTCAGTTACAGTACTACCATTTCCACTGCGGACATATGATAAAGTTTTATCTTGGGCTAAACTGTCATGTTTGACAAGGCATTAAAATTTGAAATCGTATCATCAGAAGGTTTTCTCGATTCACATTTTGAATACAATTTGTATATTTTTCAAAGCATTTTTTTGTATTTGATATTGTAAGCTTGTGTTTATATTTCTGAGTTGACACATGTTATCGTATCCCAATTGTGTAGATCGATGCTCATGCTGTTGATCACTGGATTGTCTGGGCCAGACTCGATATTTACATATAGCTGGCATATTGCTGAGTGCGGCGTAAAACTAAACTCATTTACACACTCACTCACTTATATTTCTGAAGTTAAATGTGCAGCCCTCAAGTCTGTTGTGCGTGCGATAATGCGAGCTATAAGAATCAGAACAGATTTGTAACACCTACGGTTCGTGACAACACAAAACACAAAATTCATCCTCGCCTCAGTTTGAAATACTCGACAAGACTCTTATAATTGCGAAGTTTTAAGTCTTGAGATGTATGTTGAATCGAATCAGCGTTGAACAAACTTATAAAGCCAGAGAAGTCTGACTATAACCTCGGAAAGGCAATGATTCGAAGCGGCGTTATTCATACAACTGAACAAATCATTACTTGGTAATTCACAGGAGTCAATTATTGTACGTCCTCATAATCTTTCAGAAAGATTTTTCTCAATTTGAATTTTCCTGTCATGAATTGCAATGATGATAAGATCTCTTGATGGGTGTATGGATATTACCGACATGTTAAATGTACGAGAGGTAAGTAAAGCGTTTGTTAAGGCCCATAACATAAAATGAATATTAATTCACCTGGGAACACACAGCAAACAATACAAAAGTCGAACTCGTGGAGATATATGTCGAACATTATATTCTAGATATGCGATGTGGGTGTGGGTCATAGAGGGGCGATTAAGTCGAATTCGAGTTTGAGTTCGACTTAACGAGGTTTTATGGAAGTATTGCTTCAGATTGTCATCACTTACCCTGCTTCATCCTTGACGACACTGGATCCTGTAGGTGCATAGTCCCAGTCCACCTCCACTGACGCCAGGAAGTACTCCCGGTCCTTGCACACACTTACCCCACACAGGGCGAAAACAATCACCATCTTCATAATAACCATCATGTGTTCAGTCAATGGTCACGCTAAGCTGAGACAACTAGACTGGAGACAGGTGTGAAAGTTTGAAAAAAATGAAAATTATGAATAAATAAGTTTACGAGTAAGTATAAAAAGTAAAAGGATAAAATTATGACGACGCGCCTAGTACACGGTGAGGCTGCAGACATCAAAGGGTTTGAAGACTAGAGAGGCTGGGGAGTCATGATCTCAGTGGTCCATGGGAGACTGAACTGAGATGTCTCAGGATGATTATGTATGAGAGTGAAAGCAGTAGATGCGAGACGACTGACTTATATCATAGTAGGCCGCGTTATGTCAATAATGGCATGCCCTGTGGTCGCCAATGAGCGTGATGGCGAGACTAAGATACCGTCCCCATGTTTTTCTGTGTTGACATAAGCCTGAAGTGACTTAGTGAACGTTAGGGAAAGCCCCAAAGACGTGTGCAACCCTCCTGCTTAATTACACTGTTGAGACTTATTTTACTGAAAAAAAGTTCAAAAGGTCTTAAGATGTTTCTTCAGGCTAAGCAAATGACCATGGTGTTTTGTATCGAAGCTATGTTGATGTCGACGTATGAACGTTAGAAGTAATCTGGGACCTGGAGAAGTGTTAAGAACCCCAACCTGGAGGCCTGGACGCTCCACAGGTGTGAGACATGACAATCAGTATTGTTTACCTGTCCTCTCACGCAGGTGTTATACAACATAACAAACAGATTGTATGTTGCTGTCGGTGGTAACGTCAACACGACGGCTCACAACTATGCTACGACAGAAACTTGTTTCACTGGTATGCACACTCCGAGGTCTGATAATTATTGTGTTCATAGGTGAATCAATACTGGGAAAGAGTTGACATTGAAATATTTTACACATCTTTCAATAATTAATAATCAGTTTTGTTCGTCATGGAATAAAGGAACCATATCAATGCTAACATTTTGAACATGTTCAGACAATGCATTTTACCATCTCGCATGTATCAGAGTAAAGTGGCTAGATTGGAATAGCACGTAACTGTAAAAATAAATAGAACGTGACAATATCCTCTAATAAGTCTGTAATTTGGTACTCTCAAGGAATTTTTATATGGGTTTAGAACTAGACTAATCAGTGTAGATCATCTGAAGAATCTGATGCAAATGGGCGTAAAAAGTGGAAATAGAGGTGAAAATTGTAAGGAAAATTGTAACTGTATGGATCAGTGAAACAACGATGACACCAGGTGTCTTGCCTGTCCTGCCCTACTGGTAGCACCCTCCGAACAAAATTTGCATAAGATATATATGTCTGTACATGAATGTTCTACAGCCTTGTGGCATTTCAACTCTACTAGCCCGATGACTGTAACTATAGAAGAACGTACAGCATGTCTGAAACACTGATACATTTGAAGAAAGAAGAGGAATTTCCATCAGATTCGCAAATGGAAATGGAAAGAGCAGCTGAGTGACAGCTGATTGATTAATTTATGGCAAGTCTAACTTGTTTCCCGAAATATTTCTATTCATTGTAATTTCGTGTACAAGCTGTGCATCCCCCATCCCGATCCTCAAGCCAAATACCATTTCCTGCGGGACATATCTGCACTTCAAACTTCAATGAAGTTGAAGTGTATTTCATAGAGGTTAAAGCTGTGTTAAGGATTAAGAAACTTCAAAGGGGCAATAGGTTCCTGATTATAGGTGTAACCCTGCGGTCCGTATGTCCTCAGATTTTATATAGGGCGAGTATTCAGACAGGTAAGAATACTTGCAATGCCTCGGTGTGCACGTTTTACTGTTTCCAGCTTGTTTGATGTCAAACTAAATCCCAGGTAATAAGAAGAGTTTGTGTAATCAGGAATCCATTCAGTATCAAAGGGTTTGGTAATGTTGATTGACTTCAAAGCGAATTATGCATTCATATATCCAATTATTCAACATGTTTATTTAGGTTCGAGGTGAATGGGACAATTTCAGAAATATTGTTGAAATGTAAATTAGAATATTCCCAGTGTGTTAGGCTATGGTTACAGGGTTTCCCGGTACACTTTATATCGGCGGTTTCCGTTATCGAGAAATGTTAGCGGTTTTCCCAGGAATATGTTTGTAAAGACTATTTGAGGATTTAAATATTAACTCGGTTTCTCGGTTTTATTAGGTATTATTAATATTTCCCCAACATTTCAATGTATACGCTTCCTGTTATTATCGCCACATCCTCGTGTAGTACCGTACATGCTTTAATAAGATCCTTCCAGGCACTAGTGAAATCAGACCCAGGTAATACAGACAAACTGGTCGTAAGAGGGCTACTGAATGTATTGGGCGGGCAGGGTCAGTGACTGCTGATTATGGAACCCTGGCGGCGAGGGGCGATGCTCATGATGTCAATCACTGAATTGTCTTGCTTTTTTTACAAATCAAATAGCTTGACTATGGCTGTATTGCGTTAAAACAAGGACCAGATGCAATCGTGATTCGGGCTGTGCAGGATAAGATCGCCGTATGCTTTGAGTGAATTGGTTTTAACCATGCTTTGAGCACTATTGCAGTTGAATCATGGCACGTTTGATCAATGTGTGTGTGTGGATGGGGAGGAAAGAAGTTCTCAGAAGTTGCTACTCTACTGAAACCCAAGAGCGTGGTGTTGATGAATAGGAATACATCACAGTCTGGGAGACCTGAGATTCCAACGATAAATCAGAGGTATCTGGAGTGTCCAACAGGTGCAAAACTGTATAGCGCTTCATGACGATTGGGCCTGATGATCATGATACGAAACGATAATATACGATATATATATTAGCATTATGCCACATTTTAAAACCTTTTTTTATTGATATTTTGTCAGTGAATGAATTTACATTGTATTATATTTAACTAAATAAGTGTTCGTGATAATGGCCCATGTAAAGTACAATATCTACACGGCCAGTTACAAGACTTAACACGGTACTGTTCTGGTCACCAGACTGACTGACTGACTGAGTTTGGTTTTACGCCGCTTTTAGCAATATTCCAGCAACATCACGGCGGGGGACACCAGAAATGGGCTTCACACATTGTACCCATGTGGGGATTCGAACCCGGGTCTTCGGCGTGACGAGCCAACGCTTTAACCACTAGGTTGCTCCACCGCCCTCCGGTCACCAGAACATGCACCATAATGTGTACTGTCAGTTTTTCTGGGGCAGCTGCTCACTGGCTGTATAATATAGAATGTCTCGATAAACTGCACAGTAGGTGTAAAAAGTAAAACAGCGAGGAAACAGATGAGTAATGACACCTGGTGTTATGACACCCAACTGTGACGAACATGAACAAAATCGATATTTCATATCTCATAGCCATATACACATTCCTTTAATATCCTTGAAAATAGCTGGCCGATAATTACTTGTGTCCTTTAATGAAAGAATGGGTGTGGGTGGCGAAAGTTTAAACATTTAACCCAGTGTCATTCTAATATTGACTGTGGACCTTGCAGGAGCCCTCACGTACAGTCAATAGCCTTGGTGCCCGGGTGATGGGGCGGCGCCCACCACTGTGTAGCCACTTTAATTAGATCTGCATAGCTTTTGGAGATCAAGAACCTCTTGTATATGCTCGGTAAATGTCACCGATTGTATGTTACATAACTACTTTTTCCTAATGCTGACATTTGTAATCGTGCAGAGAAATCTCCTCTCACGCGCTGATACCGACCGGAAGACGGAAATTCAGCGTCTCCATGCTTCACGTTATGTCTGAGGAGGTTTTCACAATATCTAACCTATATTTCTTCAAGAAATGTGTTCAAATGATTGACTCATCAACTACTATTACTTTTCAAATTTACATGCTCGATCTAATCCATGGCGTAATAACAAACACGCACGGCTACTTTAAGGTGTGAGTGGATCATGTTAAACACTGACCTCGTCCTGTATCATGTTATTAAGGATGTAAAGTCTTAAGGATCTTTAAACAGAAGATTTACGAAACTGATTACCATGAGGTTTCTTTCACACTAACGTGAAAGGCCAGATTCAGCTGCGAACTTACCAATTGCTACACACATTTAATCACTCACTCCTAGCTACATATACTGATACTTTGTTAATTAAAGAAAATAGAAAATGCCACACAGGAAATGATGTGCCTCAATGATCATCATTATTCGTGCGACTGATATACTTAGTTATTTTATGACAGAGAAACAGAAAACTTTAAGAAACATGTCTTGCTTTTCCAAAATTATGTCTGACCTTTACGGCTATAATGTGACCTAATCATGACCTCTTTACCTCAATGTTGTCGTGAGGAAACAAAACCCTGTCGTCTTAGGATGTAATCTGTGTGTTCTGATTTCCCCAAACAAGCGTATGACACGACCTGCTATTTAGTTGACATAAGAAAGAAAACACTGCGAACTTAGTATTACTGTAACCATATATTCCATTACAATAGAGTATTGTCTAGACATTTACAGAAGGTTTTACACATGTACATGGCAAAACAAACATAACATGGGTCGGGGAGACAGTGTGGGTGTAGGAGGTTTAATCGTTCTGCTCTGTAAATATACCTCATTATTCTAACTCATTGTTACAAAAGGAGAGGATCACTTTGTAGCGGTATACCCATATCAAAGGCGGCTCCAATTAGTCTGAAGCATCGTCAACACTAACTCCACCAATCCCTAAAGTCATGGTCCGACGCCGTCTTGTGCAGGATACAGTGCCATCATGGCGTGTATTGGAAGTGTGGGAAGAAAGTCTCAAAATAATGCTGGTCTTTGCATGTAAAGTTTGCCAAACGCACGGATGGTTCTTAGAAACCTATGAGACAGAATCGGGGCTTAACTGGGATTCGAACCTATGATCACAGATATTTTGCAGATTGAATATATTTCCATCATCATATAAAATACGCCACTTTTAGCAATATTCCAGCAATATCACGGCTTCACACATTGTACCCATGTAGGGAATCGAGCCTGGGTCTGCGGTGTGACGAG